GAGAGAGAGAGAGAGAGAGAGAGAGAGAGAGAGAGAGAGAGAGAGAGAGAGAGAGAGAGAAACGGGCTATGGAACACTCCAGCAGCGGGTGCACAGGTTAAACGTGCTAAAGTTGACCTTCACGATCGTCTTGCACTCATATGCTTGATTTTGACTTTCTGATGACTTTATAGGTGGGACTCACATTGACCTCGGTCAGAAACAGGCCCTTAAAGACCCGGGCCCAGACTGTTCACCTGGACTTGGCGCATGCTTGACAGTGCAACTGTAAAAGGACCTGTTTTTTTTTTTTTTTTTTTTTTTTTGGAAACAGCTAAGCTTAGTCCCAGGCGCATCCCAAGGTTCAGACGGACAGAATGGCACATGTGGCCCTTGTGTCTGTCTGTCTGTGCGTCTGTCCGTCGGCCTGTTCTGAAAGCCCAGCCCTAGACCTGTGGATAGGCCCAGACTAGGCCTGAATCCTGGGTCCACGCCCAGGGCTGACCAGCTGAACGAGGGTACCCAACTGTCCAGGGTTTGAGCATTGGCATGTAATGTCATTGGTAGCTGGCCCCCTCAGCCACTGAATGGTCCCACATCATCAGTTTGTTCTGGGACTAACGCATGCCACTTCAGTCTAACGTGAGTCAGAGTATAGCTGGGAGTTCAAACCCTGTTGAACAGAATATGGTATTGGTTCTGGAAAGAAAGGTTTGTTGAACTTTGTTCACAATTGGAACAATGTTGTGAATCCTCAGGGACCTCCTGTTGTGACTGTGATGCACCAGTGGCTAAGCTTCTCCATTGAACTCCTGATTGGATTGTACTGAACTGTTTGTGGCCGTACTGGCTGTTTGTTTCAACTTGAGTGGCATCAGCCAGGACATGGTGAATACAACATGAGCCCGTTTAACGATGATGGCTACACAATCTTGGAGCATGTATACAGAGAGGACAGTGCGAATGGCTCTGTGCAGAACATTGAGCTCTTTTTATCACGGAATTCTACAGTGTATGTAAGGAGCGGAACAGCCCACAGAGTGAAGCCCTCCACGCTGCCCAGGGATCGCCTGCTTGTGAATGCTCAGGCACGAACCCAGGACTTCCATCTCAATCCAGATGAAGTGAACTACAAAGTTGATGGAGAAAAGGTCAATGGTTCAGTTGTTACCCTTCAACCCTGGTCCTCTACTATACTATACAGGGAAATAGCTGACATGTTTCCTACATCCCAACCTCGCACTGATTCTTGGCCGACTTCATATTCCTTGGAGAAACTAGATGACCAAAGCAGTGGCAGACTCGATGTTGTAGGTCTGCAACCCATTCCTGTGAGAGAGCTGAACCACCTCGCCGAGGCTGATGTGCTACCGACACTGGAAGGACCTGGCACTCAGCCAGGTGATAACATGTTGTTCCAGGTAGTGGAGCCGCCATCAGTGTCCTTACTCCCAGAACTTTTTAATGCAACGGAACAACTTAGTGTCACTCCCACCAGCTCAAGCTCTCCTCTCGAGGGACATTTAGAGGGTATACCTTCTCCTCCGGAGGCTGCTACGCCTCCTGCACTGCCTCCTGCAGTAAGTCTTCCTCCTGAAGGCCTCCTGCCTGTGGACGAACTTCCAGCAACTAGTTCCGAAATTACTCCTGCTTTATCACCTACAGACGCTCCTCCTACCCCACCAGCACCACCACTTCCCCCTGCCTCCCCTCCACCCCCACTGTCGCCAACACTTCCTGCTTCCCCCCCCCCAGCACCTCCATACAATCCTCCCCCTGGCCCCGTTTCCATCCCTGAGGAGTGGCCACCTGGTGACCGCACCCCTTCTCCTCAGACCCCCAAGAGCCCCAATGACACCATACCCCCTGATGAGGGAATTGACGCACCTCCCACTCTATTAAACATAGGCCCAGTTGAAGCCCCTTCATCCACACCTGAGGACAGCACAGATGAGCCTGAGAAATGTAAAGCAAAAGCTGGTAAATCTTATAGCTCTGGCGCTGCTGCAGGTATTGGTTTTGTCTGTGCACTTGTTGTCATTGCGGCATTCTTTTCTGGGTTATCTTTGGGGCGTGGAGTGTGGAAAATTTCCTGTTTACAAGTACAACAGCGGGGTAAGTTCTCACCCAGTATCATTGGTCCAGATCCTCAAAGACAGGGGTCTGCCAGCACGATTGACACAAAAGGCAACCGACAAGTTGTTGCACCTTCAGGCCATGATCATCCACGAGCTCGTCAGTCTAAAGATGGTGATGATTTCGCAGTGGCACTCAATCCAGCGTATGATGCTCCTTCTGCTAGCCGCATCGATTTGGCATGAGCAGTTGTGCTTATGATCAGTTGGATGCTTGTTGATTCTTTCCTCTGAGCTTAATTTGATTTCTGAACGCTGCTTATGCAGTTGTTCTTAGGCTCTCTAAAATCTCAAGTTTTTGACTCCAGCTGCTCACCTAAGATCTTCTTTGCACCGTTACATATGTACCTCTTCATTTGTGCAACCTATGTCAGATGTTGGTGGATGAAATGCAGTGGCAGAAAGCAGCAAATTATATGGAACCCATATATTGAATCGCAAGTTCTCGCAACTCAGTCTTCAGCTGAGAATCCAGCAAAGAATATTTGGAAACGCAAGTGATAGCAACACACCAGTTTCCATTTCTCCAGAGTCCACACTCTTAGAGGTCATATGATAGCAGAGCAAAAAGAATACCAATTGCAATGAACTGCTTTCAATTTCCCATCAAACAGATCTGAGCAAGGAAAATGAGCAAGAGCGAAATCACAGAATTCCAAATTGCTACAGAATAGAATAACACATGCAAGCCCTAGCCTTCCAGCGCTCCCAACTCTATTTTCCTTACAAAGTACTTCTTCCAAAACATTAAAACCAGAGGAAGGAATTCGCAAATAGAGCAGTTGGAGGGCCCACAGGGAGTAGTGTCCGATTCCGAAGGGTTGTTGTCGGTAGCTAGTGACTTCT